TCCTGGGAGTGCACATCTCAGAGGACCTGTCCGGGAGGAGGAACACAGCATCACTGGATAAGAAGGCTCACCAGCGCCTCTACTTTCTCCGCAAGCTGAAAAGAGCTGGAGCTCCAACCCCCATCATGTGCACCTTCTACAGAGGTGCCATAGAAAGTGTTCTGAAAAAGAAAGCTGCATCATGGTGTGGTTCGGTGTGTGTAATGCATCCTGCCACAAGACCCTCCAGTGCATCGTGAGAGCAGCCGAGAAGCTCGTCGGCACCTCCTTCACCTCACTACGACTTACACAGTTCCCGCCTCACTCGGAAAGCCCTCTGCATGGTGAGTGATCCTACGTACCCACTACACAGCTTCTTCAGCCTGCTGCCATCAGGGAGGAGACTGCGGAGTCTCAGGGCTCGAACTAGCAGATTGGGAGACAGCTCTGTTCATCAGGCAGTCAGGATGCTAAACTCTATCTGCGCTGCCTCCCTTCCCTCTTGAACTGGCATAACACACAAAACTTTCACACATTTCCACACAACACAAAAAATTTTAACACTGAACTCTGTATCATTAAAAACGGGTTATAGATTCAACATATGCTTATGTGCTTATTCAATTTGCACTACTGTTTATATTTTTTGCTAGCCACTGTAGTGAACTTAACCTGATGTCAAACTAAGCCTAAGGTCAACCTCGCACGCTCCTTCAGATTTCAGCTCGTCCCAACAGTACACTTTTGGTGAAGGTCGACTTTACCTTTCTGAAGATAGATCAGTTCGGCGTGAAGTCCTACTTCCAGCCACTTTCAGCGTCTCCGTTGAGAACAGCCAAATACCTAGAGAGCCGTGCGAGGTTATCCAAACAGAAGTTATAATTCCCAAGATCGTCTCTGGATTCTGGATTCCAATAGAAGCATCCTGGACGCCTGCGTTAGCATCCAAGAACTCTGAACTCTTTAACTCTCTTCAGAGAGTTAAACTCTGGAACTCTTCTCCAGGAAAAACTTTCAAGCTCTGAAAAACTCCCCTGTTGAACTGGGAAGTCGCCACATTTAAACGGCTATACTTCCAGTTCATTTGAGAGCTTTCTGATTCGTGGATGGACCAGAACAGAGGTGTGGTTTGTGATATAAGGTGTTATGGAAAGTCAAGGATAGAGATTAAGATTGTTTAAAACAGACAGAAAGATTGTTAGAGAACTTCAGACTTTGTGGAGTCAATTCACCTAGTATCTGCTGTGAAAGTTAAACATGACATTTCTTTTCAGTAAACTTTTTAGTTGACCGAAACCTGAACTTTAACACACACTTACAAAACTTGCTCATTGAAGACAGAAAATCAAGAAATGCATATTAACCTGATTTCTTCTTTGAATGAGGAATAAAAATCATTACTTACTGTTTATGTAAAATAAAAATGAGTAGTTCTCTTCAACCTGTAAACATTGTTTGAACTAACACAATTTGATTATCAAAACATTTGTAAAATAGTAATGATCATAGAGAATTGTCATTTCTACTTGATTAATTCAAGAAAGAAAGTCTCAGGATGGGTCAAACTGTATTTCTGGATGCAGATCAATGAAATGACAGTTTCTGTCCCACAAGGTTCTTAAGGTCAAGGGTTTTGACCTTAGGCTTAGTTTGACATCAGGTTAAGTTCACTACATTACTATACTGCATATGTCACTTTACCTTTATACAAAGTATCAATATCAAGGACTTCATACATATACTGTGTACATTCACTTCATATATTGCTTTGTCACTTTACTTCAAATACTAGAACCTAACACCTGCAATAAACGAGGGACTACTGTACATGAATAAAGTGTAATGGAACTAAAATATATACTAACTCAAACCTAGAGACAAATTAGAGTTGTTAATAAAACGTCTCTTTTCAGCATTAGATGATCTTAGCTTAAATATCTGGCAAAAATGAAAACTAGGAAATATGTTTTTTTTTCAATGAATTCCATGCCTTTTTCTGTGTTTCTAAACATAGTACATATATTTGTCTCACATACAAATGTCTCAGTTCAGCATATCTTCAATAATTATAGTTTATAATAATATATAATTATAATTAATAATTCTAATATAATAATTATAATTTCAATAATTATAGACCAATGTCCTTATTACCACAGTTCTCAAAAATTCTAGAAAAACTATTTGTGACCCATCCATCCATCCATCCATCCATCCATTTTCTTTACCCGTTTATTCCATTTTGGGTCACGGGGGTCGCTGGTGCCCATGTCCAGCAATCACTGTGCGAGGGGCGGGGGACACCCTGGACGGGTCGCAAGTCCATCACAGGGCCACATAGAGACAAACGAGACAAACACCCATTCACTCTTTCACCCACACCTAGGGACAATTAAGAGTTACCAGTCAGCCTAACATGCATGTTTTTGGACTGTGGGAGGAAACTGGAGTACCCGGAGAAAACCCACGCATGCACGGAGAGAACTATTTGTGACCAGATTAGATAAATTTATTACTAAACAAAACATTCTAAGTAGCAGTCAGTATGGGTTTAGAGCAAAAACCTCTACATCAATGGCTCTCATTTTTCAAAAAAAACACCTACACCCCCCTGAACATAAGAGGATCTGCGGTGGAAGTGGTCTCCAGCTACAAGTACTTGGGTGTACACATGAATGACAACATCAGCTGGAGCAACAACACCACCAGCCTGATCAAGAAAGCTCATCAGAGACTCTACTTCCTCAGACGGCTGAGGCGAGCTGGTCTGGGAAGCTCAGTCCTCACCTCCTTCTACAGGTGTGCAGTGGAGAGCATCCTGTGCTCGAGCATCAATGTGTGGCATGGAGGCTGCACAGCTGCAGAAAGAAAAGCTTTGCAGGGAGTGGTGAAGGCTGCACAGAAATATGTTGGAATCAGCCTCCCCACCATCACAGACATCTACACCTCCAGATGCAGGAAGAGGGCCACCTGCATCATGAAGGACCCCACCCACCCAGCACACACACTTTTTGCCCCACTCCCCTCAGGAAGGAGGTTAAGGAGCATTAAGTGTAGAACCACTAGACTGAGGAACAGCTTCTACCCTGAGGCTGTTAGACTCATGAATCTCTAACTAGAATAATCACTGTGAAAAAACCATATCATGTTGCTGCTGATCTGTTTCATGTTGCTGCTGATCTGTTTTAATGTTGATGTGTTCATGCGTGCACATCTGCTCACAGACTCATGTTCATGTTTGTGCTGATGTTCAATGTTTTATGTTATGAGTGCTTAGTGTATATTTAGTTGATGTTTTTCTTAGTTCATATCTTAGATGTTATTACTGTTTTTCTTATACATTTTATTGTTGGATGTAACTGGGACCCTGTGTACATAATTTCGCTCCACCACATGTACCACATGAGTTGCGAATGACAATAAAGAAACTCTGACTCATGGAAATAATAGAACAAATAACTACTGCTGTCGATCAAAAACAGTATTGTGTTAGTATTTTTGTTGGTTTAAAAAAAGCATTCAATACTATTGACCACACTATTCTCCTTGAAAAATTAAATAAATATGGTCTAAGAGGACCAGCATTACACTGGGTATCTAGCTATTTAAAAGATAGGAAACAGTTTGTACAAATAAATGGTGTAAGATCTGACCTGTGCAATATCACTTGTGCAGTTCCTCAAGGCTCTGTACTTGGACAAAAGTTATTTATTTTATATGTGAATGACTTAGTGAATGTATCAGGACTCCTCAAATGTGTCCTTTTTGCAGATGACACCACATTTTTTTGTTTGGGTAAAGATGTAAAACGGATGTTGGAATTGATGAAGACAGAATTTGATAAAATACAAACTTTGTTTAAACTTAATAAATTATCATTAAATTTAGATAAAACTAAATACATGATATTTAGTAACAAAAAGAGAACTGTTGACGATCCATTTAAAATTGAGGGTGATGAGATTTGTAGAGTTAATGAGATGAAATATTTGGGTGTAATCATTGATGAACAGCTAACATGGAAAAATCACATCAATTCTGTAAGAACAAAAATATCTAAATCTATTGCAGTACTATACAAAGTCAGGGAATTATTAAATGATAAAGCTCTGTACATGTTGTATAACACAATCATTGTTCCACATTTAATCTATTGCATTGATGTTTGGGGGAAAGCGTGTAAAACATTTACAAAACCTATTTTTATTTTACAGAAAAGAGCTGTAAGAATTATCACCAGAAAGCATTACAGTCACTATCAAGCACATTATTTTATCAACTGTAGTTATTGAAGTTCCATGATTTGGTAGATTACAGTATTTTATCAGTTATGTATAGGGCTCAAAATTACCATTAAATATCCAAAGAAATTTTGTTAAAAGACAAAGTTGTTACAATCTTAAGGGGATAGAGATATTTGTCAAACCAAAATTCAGAACTAGTCTGAAGGGAAGGTCTACCTCAATCCAAGGAGTTGGATTGTGGAATGGTCTAGAGAGTGATGTGAAAAATGCCAAGTCAATGTGTACATTTAAGAAAAAGATCAAAGCTGAATTGTTAAAAAAGTATATATGAAGTAGCTTAGTGTGTGTTTTGTATTAGAATTAGAAAAATTAGAAAGTTATTCATTTTGTTCTGTTACTTGAAAATTATTATGATTGAAATAATTGTTTGAAAAAAGGGGCAGATAAAATAAGATTTTTTCTTCTTTCTGCTGCCTTTCATTTTAAATCTTTTGTATCTTTTTTATATTGTTATGGAATTGTTTTGTACTTTTTTTTAATGAATAAACTTTATACCATACCATACCATATCTGATTACTTTGTTAATGTTTTGTTAAAATATTATCAGTGATTCATGGAATATTTCCTAACATTGCAGACAAACGGAAAAAATATGAGAAGGAATATTACTGCTCTCTCTATGCCTTTAGGTGATAATAATGATGGCTGACACAGAGTCATACAGTGACATCTACTGTCCACAGGAAATGGAAAACATCTGTTTTTAATGCACTTACCTGTAACTCTATGGAGAGCTGATTTAATGTTTCTTCAACAGGCAGAACATCTGTTCAACAGAAACGTATAGTAAACAAAAACCAAAAGTCATAGCAGATTATTCACAATTTAGATAAACATTTTGACTTGGTAAAGGTTAAAAAAGCACAAAGTATGTGGAAAATAGTTTGATTTCAAAAAACATACAGAAGAATCTGTAAACAGGAAAACAACAGTGAGAATGCTGACATAGCATTTGAACAATAAAAATGTCCTAAAATACAGACCTAATTAAAAACATATGATTCTATACAGACCTGGTTCTAGTGGATCCAGTATGAGTTGTGGAATTTCCTTCATCAGGGTGCCGCAGTAGGTGTGCAGGCCTTTATGAGCCACCAGCAGGAGGCGGCAGAGACGCCGGTGCCACGTATGAGCTCTCTGCAGGCAGTTTTCACTGGGCACATAAAAACTACCCTGAAAGTATAAAAACAACACAGGAAACATCAGCTGCTACACAATCAGTGGTTGATTATACAAAAACAGAAACAGCCCATGGCAACGATGGTTGTGCCTACAAACCTGAACCTACAGCCACCTCTGCAGCAGCTGAGTGAACTTGTTACACTTGTTGGAAGAAGGGAAGTCTGACATTGTCACCATTCTATGTATGTTTCCACACAATGGCAAAATTAGTTATCTGCATTTAACCCATCGCACGTGAGATGCACCCAGGTGGAGTAGTGGACAGCTATGTGGGTGCCTGGGGGGCAATTGGGGATTGGGTGTCTTGCTCAGAGTCACCACAGCATGTGAGAATGGCTGGGAGTTGAACTGCAGCTTTCTGGTCCTGGGTCGGCTGCCCTACCTCTACCCCATCTCAGCCCCAAAGAGCTGGTTCTTCTGTTTACACTAATTACTTGCAAGGTGTTAAAAACAAATGGTCCCTAAACACAATGTGCTGTTTGATGCAAAGACAGATCATTGTGACTGTGTGGAGCATTTCCACAGAGAATTCTCTTTATTGTCCACTGTTGTGGGGTGACAAGGGGAAATTAGAAATACCCTCTGTCCATCTGTGCATCTTGTGAGCATGAGAACTTGAAAAATAAGTGAGCTCTCTCTCACCTTTCATTTTGGTGTGTCTCTTTCCTGTCCTCTCAAACCAGTAAGACAAGGCAGATGGCTGCCAATCCTAAGCCTGGTTCTTCTGGACGTTCATCTGTTAAAAGGGACTTGTTCCTTTCTATTATCACCAATGTGCTGCTCAAGATGTAAGGATGGTACTTTTCTGTGGCCCGATTTGTGTCTGTTTCCCTCGTGCTCCCTCATTAGTTTCCATTGTTACCACCTGTGTCTTGTCCCAGCTGTCTGCAATTATGTCTCGTCTTGTCTATGCATATAAGCCACCTGTTCTGTCTTGTTCTTCGTCGGGTCGTCTTCATTGGGTACTCTTCCTTGTGTCTCCTGAGTCTTTCCCTGAGTCTTCCTGGTCCCTCGAGTTCCCCGTGTCTCTCATGTCTCCTGAGTTCCCCGTGCCTCCTTTCTAGTTCATGTAAGTTTTGCTGCCCCGTCAGCTTGTTTATTTTGTACTTTTGTTTTTTCATTAAAAGCCTATTTTTGTATATCTGCCGAGTTGAGTCCCTGTTCTGCACTCTGGGTTCGCTCCTGACACAAATCCTAACAGTACGACCCGACCAGAACAGAACCCAGCGGGCAGGGTTCTCACTCGGCAACACTCACCTTTTTTCCCTCCTCGTGTCGCGATGGACAAGCTCCTCTCCGTCTCTGTCCTTCCGCTGTCCCACCGCCGCCGCAGTGGCAGAAGACGGTTCCGGAGGCAGTCTGCGGCGACCAGCCCGGTCTCGTCGGCCGAGCAGAACTTCAGAGCTGGTTCTGGTGTTTTCGTGGGAGCGGGGTCCGCCGCCTCACCTCCCAGGTTTCCGGTGGGGGCGAGATCCAGCATCCCGCGGGAGCTCCGGTCCACTCCTGTTCGGTGAGTCCGGTCCGGTTGACGTTACAGGGGCGGGTTCCGTCGCCTCACCTTCCAGGTTCCTGGTGGGGGCGGAATCCGGCCTCTCACCGCCACTCCGCGCCGCGGCTGTTCGACCTAGCCTGGCCGTACCTCCGGAGAGTATTCATTGTGACTCCGTGGGGGCGTGTCCCGCCGCCTCACCTTCCAGGTTTCCGGTGGGGGCGGCACCCGTCACCTCACCCACTCATACAGACATTCCTTTTTTTCATTCATTTTCCCTGGAAGAGATTTTTTATGTTAATCAGACAATTTTTGAACTATTTAATTCTGCTAAAAGAAACTCGTCCTCCTTTGATTTAGTTTTGTCCCAGGTGAAGGATTTTTTACTTTCTATCCCAGGCCTTTCTTTGCTCCTCGAATATGATTTTTTATTAACCGAATTAGAGACTCTAAAGACTCCAGTTACAGCCATCCCTGAGGTGGACTCCACGCTACACGCAGCCCCTGAGGTGGGTCCTCATCTCTCCTATTCCGAGGGGGTCCCGGCAGACGCTCCTCAACTCTCCACATCTCCAGAGGGGTCGGCGCTCTCCACATCTCCAGAGGG